TTTGTTTTCCCATTTCCTTTTTCTTCCGGGAGGCCATGCGGATTAGGTGGCCTCTGATAACGCTTTTGTGTGCTTCCCAAATCGTCATGTCCGAAACCTCTCCATTGCTGTTTTCCGTAAAGTATTGGTTCAAATGATCAGTGAGTTGGGTTCTGAGTGCCAGGTCCATCAAGAGGGAGTCGTTCAGTCTCCAAGAGGTTCTTGCTGGCCTATATAGGGGAGATGACATAGTCACCTGCGCCGCGCTATGATCCGACCACGGCGTGGCAAGGATGTCCGCCCTCTGTAGGTGTGTGAGACCCTCCTGTTGTATGAATATGTAATCGATTCTTGAGTACCTGTTGTGGAGCGTGGAATAGTACGTATAGTCCCGGTCGTCTGGATGTCTTGCTCTCCATGTGTCCACCAGTCTTAGATCCCGTAAAGCTTTTTGTATAGTTTTGCGCGCCGAGTAGGGCATGCTGCTTCGCCCTGTTGACGTGTCAGTGAGGGGGTCTAGGGGCGTATTGAGATCACCGCCAAAGATGAGTATTCCTTCCGTGAATCTTGACAGCTTCAACAGTGTGCGCCTCAGGAAGCTCGCTTGTCCAGCGTTGGGTGTATATATCGTGGCGATCGTGTATGTTTTGTTCGCTATCTCCCCTTTGATGAAGAGATATCTTCCCCCTTCATCTATCTTTTGGTCAGTGAGGGTAAATTGCAGGTGTGCGGCCAGTAGGATCGCGGTTCCCCCTTTGCGAGAGGTCTGGTGATTGCTATAGTAGTTTACAGGGTAGTGTTTGTCCTTAAGTAGCGTGTTTGAGTCCGATCTGAGGTGGGTTTCCTGTAGGAGGGCAATGGAGACATGTTGTCTCTTGAGACTTCTTAGAAGGTGAGATCTCTTTTCGGGTGTATTTAGACCCCTGCAGTTCTGCGACCTTACGACCAGCTCAGCCGGGATGTACGCCATCTGTGGTCCTGTGTAGGTTATTTGGTGGTTCCGGGTTCTCTTACAGCTCCTTCGTCCGTCTATTCAGTTCTGGTCTCTTTGATGATGTGGGTCCAGGTGTGTCCCAGAGAGAGGCCTCTCGTTGTGGGTCGGGAGGAGAGAAGGAAGGGAGGAAAAAAAAAAAAGGGGGGGGAAGTAGGAGAGAGAGTAAAGGGAGGAGAAATTGAACAGTAGTGGAAAAAATGAACAGCGGTAGCGACTACAGCTCAGTGAGGTTCGTGTATGCGGCGTGTGACTATTTCTTCCAGCTAGTTTGGCGATTATTCGTCGTCTCCGTGTGTGGCCTTAGTTGGGTTGTGTGTAGCGTGTCAGGGCGTGGGGTAAAGTAACAGTTACCCCAATTTGGGGTGACTCCGTGTACCCTGGTGGGCAACCAATGCCGTACCACCGGTTTGTGTCCCGGCAAGGCTTCGGCCTTGGCTCCCCCAGTGGGTCCGTCTACACGGATATGTGGTCAGGAAGTGGCCTGATCCTGTTGGTCTCTGTTGCAATCGCAGTGACTAGATGTTGGGTGTGTGGCTCGATCGAATGAGGTAGCAGAGTCAGCGTTCCCACTATGTTGATCTCAGCTAAGGTGTGCATTAGTCTAGGTTATAGTTAGCTCATGTGAGTCCTTGTCAATGGGTCTGATAGTTAGGTCGTGTTGTACTTCTCCCGTGTCTGGTGGCTTACTCATCCCTAGAGAGTCGTCCCGGGCAAGGTGCGTTTGAGTCTGCGGGGGTTGGAGCGCAACTCAGACGTTCCGTTGCCAGGTCTGAGGTGGGGTGCTCGCGTGTGGTGTACGTAATGAGGGTGCAATTCTAGTTGTAGTCTCTGTTATGGTAGCAGTGTTCTGCGTGTATGTCCTGTCTGTCAAGGTCATTCTGTGCGGTAGGCTCCTGGGCAGGGGGCGGTGTCCTGTATCCGTACGTTAGCTATGTTTTGGGTTAGCTCCGTGTGTCTTTAGTACATGTTCGTCTACCTGTCTATTAATGGGGTGGGTTCCCTGTCCATTCTAGGGTGAGGCCGATCATGATGTAGCCCTCTGTTTCAGCCCCTACAATAACCTCCATCGCCGTGGCTTGTGGGCAGCTAGCTTTCCTTCCCCTTGCGTCTCTCAACTATCCCCACTCCCACTACCTCTTCCTGTGAGCGGTTCCGTGGAGTTGTCTAGGGTATTGTCATAGGCCTTGCGGGATCGGGGGGTTGTGCCACGTTGAATTTTTTTTTTTTTTTTAAATATGAGGTAAAATTAGTATCATCCACCCCTGTCCCCTCCCTCCCCCCCCGCTAACTGCATTTTGTGAGAGCTTCCCAGCCTACCCCCCCTCTTACGTCCCTAGACTCTCTCTTCCCTTGGGATGTGCTTCCCATCTCCCTAGTTCCCTAGTTTCCCCTACCGACGCCGAAGCGCCCCCCTCCCTGTTCCGGCCGACTCCCGGCAGCGGCGTCAGCTTCTTCCTCTCTCCACCACCTCACTTACGTATCCTCATTAGTAAGACCCTTTTGCAGTTCGCTTCAAGTTTTTTTTTTATTTTTATTTTTTTTCCCCCTTCCCCCCCCTCCTCCCCCCTCCCCCCAGTTTTCAAAGTATTCGTACTCCCAGTCTCAGTAGTTAGCCTATGAGATTGCAGTAGCATACGTATCCCCCGCCCCTGCCCTCCATAATCCTCCCTCCCAAAGTAGAATCGACCCAAAGGTGATGCGTCCATAGTTGCGGGCCCTCTCAGGATGTTGTCCCCCTTGCCCCTCGCCTTGATGCTCATGCATAGCTACAAAAGTCTGTGTTTGTCATCTTGTCAGTGTCTGAATGTCATTTGCACTTATCTGGTTGTCCCGTGTAGATGGTGTGTGCGTCCGCAGTTCCTTTTTGCCCCTCGGAATGTTCGCCGCCATGGCCGCCAGTTGTGGAGGTGTTAGACTCCCGGTTGTGCAGGATGGTGTGCTGGGTTTTGTGGTCTGCGTGCCGGTCTTCTCTGTGGCGAGTCATCTCTGCGCCGTCTCTGTGCCCTGGGTGCTGGTTGGTTGGGTCTCAGCTCCGACGGATTCAGGATCCAGTCCGTGACCTCCGTATGCGGCAATCCCATGCTTTGTAAAAAGGCCGGTACTTCGTTGGGCCAGCGGAGCGATTTCCATTCATTGTTGTGTCTGGCCAAAAGGCAGAAGGGGAATCCCCACTTATATGGTATGTTACCGTTTCGTAGTATCTGAGTCACCGGTCTCAGCGCTCTGCGGGCCTCTAGCGTAAGTGGGGAGAGGTCTTGGTACAGGGCTACCTCTGCGCCTTGAAACCGCCAGGTTGGTCTCGATCTTGCTTTGTTCATTATCAGCTCCTTGACTTTGTATTCATGGAGACAGCATATGATATCTCTGGGTGCGTTGTCTGCAGCACGTGGCCTCAGGGCCCTATGCGCTCTATCAAATTCTATGCGCTGTGGTGATTCTGGACCTAGTATGTCCCTGAACAGGGCGGTTAGTAAGGTCGGTACATCTTCTTCCCCAGCCACTGCTTCTGGTAGATTGCGTATTCTGATATTCGATCTGCGACCCCTGTTGTCTAGGTCCTCAGTCTGTCTTCTTAGTTGCAGGAGCATATTGCCCTGTCTGGTCACTGCTGCATCAGTGGCCTCCAGTCTGCCTGCTGTTGTGGTTTCCAATTGTTTCAAGCGCCCATCTTGTGCTGTAAGGTCCCTCTGGATTGTAGCTACTTCAGACCTTATTACCTCATGCAGCGTGGCAGAGAGTGCCTGGAGGTCTGTTTTTGTGACCATACTCCCAGAGAGGGCTCTGATGTCGGCCCTAATGTCTGCTAGGGAGGGTTCCTGTATGTCAGGAGGTGGTGTTATGGCCTGATCGTCGGCCATTTTGGCGCCCGGCCTTGCACGCGTTTGTCCGCCGAGTGTGCAGAGGAACCCGTCCAGCGGGCCGGTTTGCGGTGGTACTTGCGCCCCTTTGTTGTGCTGGGATTCAGACCTCCTTGTGCGACCCATCGGGTAGGATTTTGCTCCGTGTGCACGCTGTCGGTAGCTATGTGGGACGGAGCTCCTCTAACTAGCCGCCATCTCCGACGGCGTTCAGGCCACGCCCCGGAGGCAGGGAATGTTGACACAACTGGGATCAAGGAGTTGGGAGAAAAGATGAAAGAAATACCGGATGGGAGATGGTAACAACATATAGTAGTGGTTATGATGTGGCGATCAAAAAGGACAAAAATATATTCATACACTATACAGAATCCATCTACATTCTCCCATACGGACATGCCAATTAAATAAGGAAGTGCCGAAAGGCATTACCAGAAATGTAGCTGTACCAGATAGACTGCACCAATTCTGCTATACCCTGTACAAGTATTTTGGATATCCAGTAAGTGAAGTTTCCTCATTATGTCCACCAAAGTAGTTGGAGCTTTGGGTACAGTGGGAAACCTAGGATTTAAAAAATATATATTTTTTTAAATAGTTTTACAAATAAGATGATCTGAACTCACTGCCACTAACAACTACAATAGACCCTGGCAGCAATGGTGCATTGTGGGTCACCTTAATTATTTTTTTCGGAGTGGAGCCAACTGTCAAAGCCACCCAGAGTGCCAACTAACCTAGGTATGCCTTTGACCTAGAGAAATGCATATGAAAACAGAGGAATACAATCCCCTCCCAATCCCCCTTCTTACCTATAATGGAATGTCATTGTAGTTAAGGGCAGGTGAAGGTAGATGTCCCTTGCTCAGTTTTTTCCTCCCAGTGCAGGAAGCCATGCTGCAGCCTCTCACGCTTTGAGAAGCCACTCTGTATCATGGAATTTAGAGCCAGAGGAGAGAGCAAGAGGTGGTAGTCAGAGGGATCCACCAGAAGCCAAAAAGGAGGTTTGAAAATATGCTTATATTTATATGAATGGCTAAGATTCCTTTGCTTTTGAGACATTAAATTATGCTTATTCTTTTAAAGTAATGTATAAACGTAAATGGTCTGTCAGATTGTCGATATTGTATATGTGATGGTACAGAAACTGACTTGTGTTTTAATAAAGTATGGTTTATGATTTCTGTGCAGTACTGAATGGAGGTAATAGCATTACCCTAGCTGACAACTCGACAAGCACAGTAACATCATTCACCCCAGAAGAAATAATAAATAAACACATGCACAAGCTAACGCCTTTTGAGCACGGTGAAATATTTCGTTTCTCTGCCGTTTACTTTTTTGGTCCCAATGCAAAGAAGCGTCGAGGATTCATTGGTGGCCCAAATAACTGTGGCTATGATGACAAGGACGGTTTCTATATTCAAGTACCACATGATCACATTGCGTACAGGTATGAAGTGCTGAGAGTTCTAGGGAAAGGAATATCTGGACAAGTCATGAAGGTCTATGATTACAAACTGCAACAACATGTTGCATTAAAAATGTTCCGCAACTTGAAAAATTATCATCAGCAGGCCATGGATGAGATACGAATGCTAAAACATCTGACAAAACAGGACAAGTGCAACAACATGAATATCATTCACATGCTGGACAACTTCACATTCCGAAATCATATGTGTATGACCTTAGAACTTCTCGGCATAGACCTGTATGAACTCATTAAGGCAAACAACTTCATGGGTTTCAGTTTACCAACAGTGCGAAAATTTGCCCACTCTATCTTACAGTGCTTGGATGGCTTGCAGAAAAACAAAATCGCCCACTGCGACCTCAAACCAGAAAACATTGTATTGAAGAAACAGGGCAAAACTGACATCAAGGTAATAGATTTTGGAACAAGCTGTTATGACCATCAGCACATTGACATGTACATCCAGACTAGATTTTATCGCGCACCTGAAGTCATCCTTGGTGGTTGCATCGGAATGCCTGTGGATATGTGGAGCATGGCTTGCATTCTTGCAGAGCTGTTAACTGGAGATCCCCTATTACCTGGGGAAGATGAATATGATCAACTTGCATGTATAATTGAGTTATTTGGCATGCCACCCAAAAATGTCCTGGCATCTTTCAAAAGAAACAAAAGTTTTTTCTCTTCCAAAGGACATCCCTATTATTGCACTGTTACTAGCCTGCCAGATGGATCAGTGGTACTGAATGGTAGTTACTCTGAAGCAGGTACATGGCGTGGTCCACCTGGCAGTAGAGACTTTGTCACCGCACTGAAAGGCTGTGAAGATCCCCTTTTTCTTAATTTTTTAATCCAGTGTTTTGAATGGGATCCTGCACTGCGCATGAAACCTTGCCAGGCGTTCCAACATGCATGGCTACGAGGACACATGTCAAAGTCTCTAAAAGAAAAAAGTGGCTAATCCTGATGCATTTAATACCATGCTGAAATTTATTTCCTAGTTATTTAATAATAAAAAGAAAAACTGTGCAATATTTACTTTTTATTATCTGTAGTATGTAGTATTGTAAATAATATACAACGCTTCAAGGTTTTCTCACTTATTTTTTAGATTTTTGCTTGAAGTTTACTTTCTGAACTTACATAATGTCATGACCACTTACTCGACCATTCTGACTGTTAAATTGTATTTACTGATGTCAAAAGTGTTAAAAGGCAACTATTGTTTAAAAAAAAATCATCTATTTTTAAAGCAATTGATTTAGATAATGTAGTTAAAAGAAATAATATATATATATATATAATTTACAGTGTTTGAACTTATCCCATCAAATCTGATCCATTTAAAAGATAACATGAAAGCAGCTGACCCCCACACTACTAAATTATTTAGGATGGGGGTGCTGAAACTTTGATGCTTAGACAGCTTTGCAGATTACACTCAAATGCATTAATAAACAGTGACATACCAAAGCAATGGGCCAATATTCTACGCTTGAAGTAGTATACATTAGAGGTATGCACGGAGAAAAAATGTTGTTATGGACTGCGCATTCAGCCAGTCCATAGGAAAGCATTCACAATGCTTTCCTATGGACGCTGGCGTCTTCTCACTGTGATTTTCACAGTGAGAAGCGCGGAAGCGCCTCTAGCGGCTGTCAATGAGACAGCCACTATAGGCTGGATTAACCCTATTATAAACATAGCAGTTTCTCTGAAACTGCTATGTTTATAGAAAAAAAGGTTAACCCTAGCTGGACCTGGCACCCAGACCACTTCATTATGCTGAAGTGGTCTGGGTGCCTATAGTGGTCATTTAAGCTAAAGTTGATTTGGCGAAATAAAAGCCATTTGTCTTAATTTTGCTTTGTGCATTGTAGATAAGCCACTAATGTTGAATTATGTTAATCTCACATAGTGATATAGAATTAGGAAGCTATCTACTACAGAAATTAAAGAGCAAAATTAAGAAGAAGCCGTTTTTCTTAAATTAGATGTTTCAGTTGTTAGTTGGTAAGTCCCTAATTTGCAATCCTTGTGAAAAATAAATGTATCTGAAATTTGTTTATAATTTTCTCTTAATTTATTCTTTTTGTGAAGAATTTGGAAATTCAGACACTTGCAAATTGCTAAATATGGATGAAATTTGATTTGTAACCAGGGCCGGACTGGGAAAAAAATTCGGCCCGGGCATTTTTCAATCAGAGCGGCCCCCTAAGAGGGGGGCGGGGCCAGAGAGGGTGTGTTTTGTCATCACTAATGACAAGCATGCCCCCTCTCAAAGTGAGCATGTTAGTTCAATGCGCAGAGCCCCGCTGAAGAGCTCTAGCATGAGAAAAAGGCCCTGTATTTGTTCTGCGCAGCGCAAGCAAATTTAATAACATGCTTGCGCTGTGTTTGCTTTTAAATTGTCTCTGGTGTCTCCATAAGTGGGATACCAGAGGACAAAAGGGTCAGGAAAGTGTATGATGCATGTGTTTGGAGCCTGCTTGTGGGAATGCGTGTGTGTAGAGTGTGGTATTGTGTAAATAGGTCAATTTCATTTGTGTTTGTGGCGTAATATGTGTGGCTAGGGGCTATAGAGAGTATGTGTGTGAAGAATCACCCTCCCTGCATTCGGTACTTTCCCTCCCTGCTACTTTGTTCTTGGAATCCACTATCTTTTATTGTGGGTTGTTCGGTACTTTTATTCGTTGGAATCCCTTGCTCGGTAAAATAGCTATTTTACCGAACGAGAACCACCCTGGGTAGCATGTGACGGTACAATCCTTTACTCCGTCAAGCATTCCCTTCTTCCCATAAAATAAAATCGCCAAGTAATCCACAGAGTAATAAATCGCTGGTATCGTCGAATAATCCACACATGAGCCAAGGCTTAATGCTGGAACAAGTCTGATTTACTGGGAAACAGGGCACACAATTTATACAGTACATAACTCCTCCTCTGGGCCAGGCTAGATAATTGGGTTTGAGCACTTATCAAACTCAATTATCTAGTGGCCAGAAAATTTAAAAAATTTCACAATTATTAGAAACATACTTTATGCATAACATATCAATATAAAAAGCTGAGGGTGATGTAAGCAACATATACAAATTTCGTGAGAATCCGTTTGGTAGTTTTGGAGTTATACCGTGTGGAAGTTACCTTAATTACTTATATAAGTATTTTATAACTAGCCCCTTTCTTAGGTTTTCTAGGGCCTTGACAAAGGCTTTGCATAGCCGAAATGTTTCTGTATATCTGTATAGTGAAATGCTAGCAGAATGCTTGGTTGTATAGGGAGAGGTATTAGCAGTAGAAAGAGGGAAGTGCTCATGCCATTGTACAGAACACTGGTGAGACCTCACTTGGAGTATTGTACACAGTACTGGAGACCGTATCTTCAGAAGGATATTGATACCTTAGAGAGGGTTCAGAGAAGGGCTACTAAACTGGTTCATGGATTGCGGGATAAAACTTACCAGGAAAGGTTAAAGGATTTTAACATGTATAGCTTGGAGGAAAGACGAGACAGGGGGGATATGATAGAAACATTTAAATATATAAAGGGAATCAACACAGTAAAGGAGGAGACTATATTTAAAAGAAGAAAAACTACCACAACAAGAGGACATAGTCTTAAATTAGAGGGACAAAGGTGTAAAAAAAATATCAGGAAGTATTACTTTACTGAGAGGGTACTGGATGCATGGACTAGCATTCCAGCTGAAGTGGTAGAGGTTAACACAGTAAAGGAGCTCAAGCATGCGTGGGATAGGCATAACTATAAGATAAGGCCAGGGACTAATGAAAGTATTTAGAAAATTGGGCAGACTAGATAGGCCGAATGGTTCTTATCTGCCGTCACATTCTATGTTTCTATGTTACAGGAAAAATAGGTTGATAAGGACCCTGCTCAAATGAGCTTATAATCTATAGGATTCATGGAATGTGCTACTTTGTATACAAATGGAAAATTAATTTACTGTATTTTTTTCTAAACACTAAGGGTCTAAATACCCAAATACAAGGCAATTGGCTTTTAAACATATCCACACATTCAGTCTTGCCATAGCATGTTTAGTGACACACTTTTGCAGGCGAAAACCTCAAAATTTCAGGTCCTCCAAACAACCTCATGCTTTCCATGCCTATCCTCCTTTAAAATCCAGGGCAGTCTCTATCCTCATACACAGAGACTGGGTGTTTACACTAACTCAACAGTATGCAGACAAAGACTGGAGATTCCTTCTTGTAACAGGACAAATAAGCACACTTCCCATTACTGTAATGAATCTCTATGTCCCATATAATAACCAAATTTTAAGGAGAAATACTTTTGTAAACTTGGCTAACTGAAAGAGGGTTATCATATTTGGGTACTTTAATTGTGGCTTAAATTCGCACATGGACACCATGAGCTCAACTAATTCCAAGACCCTCTCAGATCGAACCGGGTTTGAGTTGAAGGTTTAGGGACATTTTATCCCAGTATAATTTTCACGATACACTGAGATCTCTGTACCCGAGAACTAGGGACTCTTCTTTTCTTTCTCCACCACCACTCTAAATACTCTACATTGATATGTGTCGTAAAAATGGTAATAAGCTTCAGTCTTTATTACATGCTACCACTGGAATCATTACATGGTCAAGTTATGGCCACATTACAACTACCTTTAGTGCCTAGTATCCAGCTCTTGATATCTTAATGACAGTTTGTGAGATGACCTAGCTTTCGCCTATAAAGTTAATGCTGCCCTGTTGGACTTTTTTTCACATAATGACTCTGTGCACACATTCATTGCCAAAGTGTGGTTAAGTCACATAGCTGTTATCAGGGGCCATGTCATTTAACTGGGAGCTGCTTGGAAGAGACAATTTATTTTTGCTCAACCTCCTTTGAATGACAAATTGGCTCAGTTAGAGACCCTGACCAAATATACCTCAGGTGAGACAAGAACTTCAAGAACTACAATTGACATGCACGGAATACAGTCTGAGGAAGTTGGGTCACCTCCATAACTCTCAGGGCAACAAAGGATGGAACTGTAGTTTTGTTATGTGGATCACCATCTGCATGGTGAATACACATTTAAGCTGTAGAAATAAATGTGGTTGGTGTAAATAAAGTGTACTCATTTTCACCTTTCATCAGGTCTTGGCTTATGTTTGGGAAACTGCTAAAGGGGCCACACTTGCTCTGGATATTTGAGTCGGATGATGAAGGGAAAATAATGGAGGTTTAGTACAGGAGCTCAGTTAAAATATTTCAGGTCACACAGCCGCAAGAGTTCATGGCCCCTTTTATGACAGGTGAAGTTGCCTTGAGCATTAAATCATTGCCAAAACATAAATCACCCAGCCCAGATGGTTTTGCAAATCATTATTATTTTACATTTTTAGATGTGCTTGTTCCTATCATGACATCCTTGTTTAACAAAATTATGAGTTCAGGTGAAATTCCTCAAGAAATGCTCAATGTGACAGATCCATCTGTCTAAGTACTATCTGCTGGTTCGTCTATTTTGTACAGTCGTGGAATTTCCTGCCCGTACGTCCCTGTTCGTTTATTTCATTTTATACCGAATAAAACTACCGAACGGCCGGCCACCCAGAAGAGAAGTGTGCTGCTGGTTAACCTATTGGCCTCAATTAGAACGTTGTGGTTAACCGCAGACACCTCTTAATTGGAACCGTATGCTGGGTGGTCGTCGTTCGTATGTCGACCATGAAGCAGCGGCCATTTTAAACACACGAATGAGCAGCGGTGTTCGACAATGAACTTATGGAACTCAAACCGGACACTTTTTTTACTGAACACCGCTGAAACCGCCGACCGCCTTCTTATTATCAGGCATACGAACACCGGTCCGTTCGGGAGTTTTTATTGTACTAATGGACTTAACCCAGATAGCCATCCCATGGAGTCATTCGTATACCGAAAGAACAGTGTGAAAGACTTTGACTCCATTGCG